TGCCTACTAAGTTAGGAAACCACTATTAGATAATACTATCATTCAATCCACAGAGCCCATTCAAATTTTGCCTGTCAACTTTCCAGATATTTTTTTTTTTTTTTCCTTTTGGGACATGACTCCATACATGTTCTGTCTCTTCACACTTCTTCAATCTGGAACACTTTCTCATTCATGTCCTTACTAGTCTACAAAGAATATAGAAGTATGACTAAGGATGGGGCTCGGTAGTTGGCAGAGTGTTTGTCTAGCATGCATGAGGTTTTGGGTTTAATCCCTAGTATCCTCTCTTCCCCCAGTCTCACACCAAGAATACAGAATTTACAGTCTGTATAAAGACCCAGAATCTGGGTCTATACAATGTTTTTTCATGACCAGATCCAGCTTATACTGTCTTTGCACAAATGCCATAGGTAAGATATTGTATTTTTCTCAGTGCACCACATCAGAGAAAGAGAAGTTTATTTCCAAACTTTCTCCCATTTTTCTCCCCTTCAATTTTTCCTTTTAACTAACTGATATCTTGTGGGAAAACATGCCACTGCAAGACTTCTTTACCAATCTTATACCTGCTAATAAAGGAACCAGCTAGATGAATATTTTGAAGAAGATAATCCCAAGCAAAGGGAATAACTAGCAGAAAGGCTTTAGCCAATAATAGGTTTTGCAAGTTTGAAGTATGGAGCAGAGATGGGATGAACAGTGTAAATGTAAATGAAGTACAACAGAGGGAAAAACTTGTCTTATAGATGTCTTTATGTTTATTCATTATTTTGTTGTTTGCCTACCATATGCACCAGATATTCTACAAGACACTACAGATCTAAACACAGTATCTTGTACCTTCTGTCAAGGTTCTTATCACATGATATTAATACTTTCTGTTTAACATTTGCAAACTCTTCAAGGACAGAGAATAAGTCTTTCAATTCTGTAATTCCAATGCCTGGAAGAGTTACTGGCCCAAGAACAACTCCTAAGTTCACTAAAAGAGTACATAAACTCATATTATCTTGATGGAAAAATTTTATGCTCCTTCACCTTAATCTAAATGGGAAAAAGATCCCTTTTAAATTCTGATAAAAGGGGGCGGGAAACCTCTGCCTTTTATATTGTACCCAGCGAACTTTCATATTATTCCCTTAGTCCTAAGAATTCATTAACTTTGTTCTTTGGTAAACATAATTGGGGGTAATGATTCTGAAACTAAGTAAAAATTAAAAGGTTAAGAGAGAATTAGGGAGTAAAGTATGAGATTATAATTATGCTATCTCCCTCCTTAGGTTTTTCTCATTATTCTTCTGGGAAAACATTCATTTTTATTAAAATATTAATAATTTTAATATTAGCACAAAATGATGATAAATTTTTTAATATATAATTTCACTTATCAAATACAATGATTCCTGTTAAGCCTTATGCAGCACCTACAAATAAAGGCTTAATTGGGTGAAAAATAGATAAAATTTACTTAAATCTATCCATAAAATTAACAGCAGCAACAGGTAAGATTTAATGACTGCTTTCTATATACCTTAATCAGTACTAATTATATGTACAATATAATTATATTTCATGTACATCCACAAAAATTCTGATAAGTTGGCACTATTATTATCTACTCCCCTCTAAGAGAAAAATAGAGATTAAAGGGGTAAAGTAAACTGCCAAAGTGTCACTACTAAAAATTAAGTGAGTAAGAGTCCTCAAATGCCAAATCTGATGCTCTTAATCATAGTATTATACTGTCTCTAGTTGTGACTATTCAGAAGACTCAAGAAAATTAATCCTTTCAAAGACGCTTCCAAATACATCTATACAGGTAACTTAGAAATAAATCTGCAAAGTCTTAAAGTACTAAAGACTTCAAAAGGAAATACTAGTTAGTCCATTACTGAATTGTTATTTCAATAAATAATAATAGTGTTCTCTCACATGAATCTTTCACTGATTAATCAAGATCCATTGTTCTAAAGCTTTATACTACTAGTTTTTAAGATTTTTCAGAGCACTAAGCTATATCTCATGTGCTTCTAATTGAATGAGAACACCCAGTATCCATTCCATTTTATGAGAAAATATAAACAATGAGCACATATCTAATCTACTGCCATTTATAGTGATAATTATAAAAATGGGAAGAAAGTTTTTAAGTAATGTTTAAAGTACTGTTTTAGAACCTGTAACTGCAAATTACTAGTAAAAAATTCTAAATGAGATTTATGATTCTGACACAATCAGCAAATAATATCACACACTTAAAATAAAAAAATTTTTCAGAATCTTGGTAAAACCATATAGAACAGTACAGTGGCTGAACACATTGGCACATGCCTGTAATCCCAGCAGCTTAGAAAGCTGAAGCCCTAAGTAACTCAGCGAGACCCTGTCTCTAAATGAAATATTTTAAAAGGACTGGGGATTGGCTCAGTGGTTAAGCACTCCTGGATTCAATCCTCAGTATCAAGAAAAGTACAGTGTTTGTTACTTATTTTTCTTCCCTTTATTTATGTGCCTTCAACTAAAGAAAGCAACCAGAAAGCAGCTTCCTCTTCACATATTATTCCTGTTTCCCAAATTCAAAGTAGGAATTAAATATCTAGAAAAGGATTGTAAATTTCTGTAAAGGGCCAGATAATAAACAGTTTAGGCTTTGCATTCCATACAGTCTCTGTCACAACTACTTAACTCTGCTATGGTAGTGCAAAAGCACCCCCTCTCAATACATAATGAGCTGAGTGTGCATATATCAATAAAACTTTACTGTAAGAGGTGATGGGCTAGAATGACCCACAGACGGTAGTTTGTTAAACCCTGATTCAAACTGCTCTTCCAACTATGTACCTATCATCCTACTACTAACTCGTAAGATAGTAACAAGCACATTATTTCATTGCATTTTCCTTCCCAAAATTCTGGAGATTGTGTATCAGATTCATCTCAAAACACAATGCTCCACAAAGTAGGATAAATGCTTGGAATCCCTTTTATTTTTCTACCAGGGATTGAATCCAGATACACTTAACCACTGAGCAACATCCCCAGCCTTTTAAAAAATTATTTTCAATTTTGAAACAGGGTCTTGCTAAGTTGCTTAGGACCTCGCTAAGTTGTTGAGGCTGACTTTGAACTTCCAATGCTCCTGCCTCGGCCTCCCCAGTTGCTGGTTTTACAGGTATACACCACTGTGCATGGCTCTAACATAAAGAATTCCTACAAGGTATGCCACCAACATCAAAACTGAAGAAGTTGAACAGCGGCTGTGGCTCAGTAATTAATAGAGCAACTTGCCTTGCACTGAAAGGCACTGGATTCAATCCTCAGCATCACATAAAAATTAATAAATAAAGGTATTGTGTCCATCTACAACTAAAAATATAAAAAAAACTGAAGAAGTTATGTATTTTTTATAACTCATAAGATAGTAACAAGCACATAACTGCAGTCATATAACTTTAACAGTCACCAAAATAAAGTTGAAACAATATAACGCTTCTTTCTCATGATTACTACTTTTGAAAGAATTCAACTTGAATGACTTATTTTCATTTACTATGAGAACAAATTATTGTATCAAGCAGAATACAGAGATACCTACTCTCTACTCTGAAAAAAAAAAAAAACTTGTCAGAAAGTTTAGAAAATTTCACTTTTGTTTCACAGAAAACAATGGGGAAGTGAAAGTGAAGAGGGAAAATATTGATGGAGAAAGTGATCTACAAATACCTAATGGACTAAAGTCAACAATAAAGAAGTATGTGAAAAAATTTTCCCTCATCCTGTTGTTTAGCTGTTTTACTGAAACACACTGTGTGTACAGATAGAAGAGAAAAAGTAGGTATATATATTCAGCTTACAAGCAAATTATCATGACTACAAAGTTTACAGCTGCTCTCTTCAAGTCAGAAATGGGAATTACCATTTTACCTTGTATTTCCCATTTTCTTATTTCAAAGGCAATTAAGGACTTTGTGAATGAATAATGCATATTTTCAGCCCACAGGGTATTGTTTAATAATAAGTATAACCACAGTAGTGGTTAATAGTAAGTATTACCTTTAATGGATTTAATAGTTAAGGCATCTGAAAATAAATTAAAATATTCAAAAGTAATTTTCTCACTTAAAGCTATAGAACTTTACTTTTGTAAAGAGGGCTGGGTTTGGCTCAGTGATAAAGTACGTGCCTAGCATGTGCAAGGTCCTGGGTCTCTAGCACCAAGGAATGAGCGAGGGGATTCAAAAGAAACAATAACAAATCCAAAGAACTTTTAAAAAAAAAACAACATTAGATATTTTTTTTTTTACATGAGGTGTTAAAGATAAGAAAATCATAAGCAAAGAGTATTAGATATGCTCAGAAATTTTTCTATCACTATTTAAAGGGAATTTTCCCAGACTAGCATATGGTTTTCTATGGATAATATAAAACGGTATATTTAATAATCTCCTACAATTTGCTTAACATACTTGGGAAATGCCCTTCGTTTAGAATTAAAATTATTGCATGACATTTTATAAAATGTCAAACTACATATTTGATATAATGTTAAGAGCTACATTTATTCATCATGTGGGCCCATAATATAACTGTGACTGTTACAACATGTCTTTCATGAAATCTCCAAACTTGAAGTTCAAATTTAAGAAAAGTCTGTACACTGCACATTGAGTTATAGTTTAATTGGATTTACAGTTTCCCATTAGTTGTTATTTTTACATTCACCTATAAGCAATGTTTGGGGTTTTTTTGTTTTTTAATGTTTTTAGTACCAGGAATTCAACCTAGGGGTACTTAACCATTGAGCCAAATTCCCATACCTTTTTATCTATTTTTTTGAGATAGGGTCTTACTAAGTTGCTGAGGCTGGCCTTGAACCTTCAATCCTTCTACCTCAACCTTTCAAGCTGCTGGGATTATGGGCATGCGCCACCACGCCTGGTATAAGCAACATTTCTTAAATACCGTATATAAGTAAAAATAATATTTTAATTACTTACAGTAAATATACGTCTGCCAGTACGGTCAAAAGTTACACAGTACACAGATGACAAGTGTCCAAGAATTCGTTTATGCATCTTCATGTGCTGATATACTGCAGTTGGAACAAGTCGCTCAAGTCTATATTTCCCATTCAGCTTCCTTGAAAACAGTGTATCCGCTACCAAGAAAACAGAGAAATTAATATAAAACAGAATTAAATTTTCTTATATTATCAAGTTTTAAGAGTTCACATATTTCAATTTGCATGTTTGCAAAAATAAAATGCTTTGTAATATATGTAGCTCCTGATTAAGAATCTCAAAAATAGTCAATAAAAACAATTATTTCACCTGAAATAAGTTTAGCCAGGCATCCTCTCATTTTGTAAATTAGCAAACAATTAAATGGCCTCTCCAAAGTCACAAACTAAGGTATGAGGTAGGATTAAAACCCAGACTTCTTTACTCTTTTTCTAGAGCTCTTTAAGAACAAAAAGCAGTGTTATATTATTTCTTTAGAAAGATCCCCAAGATATAGTTTTTCTTATAAAAGCAGTTAAAACTGCAAATTAGAGATTTTTTTGGGGGGGGGGAGATCAACCAACATTTGAACATTCTAAATATGCCACACAGAATGTTTAAGAAAACTCTGAAACAAGACAGAAATAAATCACTTGTATTATTAAAAAATAATAATTAAATTAGGGACTTGTTAAACACTTGTATGATGATTCTTTTTTTGGAATACATTGGCTCATTTATTCTAATGAATAAATTAGAATTTATTCATTCTAACCATCTTTCAAGATCTGACTGAAGCTCATTTTCCTCCTCAAAGCTATATATGTTGACTCTAGCCCAAAATGATCTCTTTTATCTAAATTACTAATGTACTTATTTGTTATACTGTTAACTTATGGACAAAGAAGGTGCTCAATAAATATGTGTTGACTGATCTGCAGCCACATCAACAACCTATAGATTATCTTTTAATAGAAGGTATTGTGCCTGACATACCACCTACACTGAATATTTAGCACTATATTTTCTCACTTGAATGTGGTCCCAAAGAAAAATAAATATATACACAAAATACTACTTAACCTAGATTTAGACCTAACAATTGTGCCCTAAAAGCTGATGAAACATAAATATTTCAGGTGTATTAAAAAGAGTCTCAGCACCCCGGCCCCCCGGCATATCCAGTACATTTTTGACTCACACTGCATTTGCAAGCCAAAAGAGGAAAAAAAAAAAAAAATCTTGGGACCTGGTAAAGAGAGATGAAGATGGATGCTAAATATTACATTCTAAAGCAAGAATATCTCAAAGAAAACTTATATCATGCTTAAATGTTCTTTAGCTAAAGCAATCACTTTATATTTGAAGAGTATTTCTCTTTCTGTTAGCATATAAATTCTGTATAACAATCTATTCTAACAACTGGGAATGTCTAAGACAAGGTTTGACAGTTGCTAACTGGCATGTTTATGGTTAAGCTGGTTATACAGAGATTTAGAAAGTTAATTTACAAAGACTTAGAAAGTTTCCATCACAGTTTGGCCTCTGACACATTTTCCTTTTGCACAGAAATGAATTGGTAAAATACATCCTCCAATGCTTGGACTCCAAACTGATTTCATGTAAGAATCACATAATACCACAGACATCAATTGTTCTGCCTTAAGAAAACTCAAATCATCTTATTCAAATACCAAGAACTACTGACATCTCAGACTCACCTGTCTGTTCTGTAAGAAAATAAGTGATGACATACCACACAAACACTGACTGTGTTTCAAGATGTGGTTTAATTCTTTCTATTAAAAACTTATAAAATTCTCAAAATGTTAAATTTTATGAAAACATTTAGCACAATTCTGAAGGTATGAAAATGCTGGAGATAATTAAAACTACCATTTTGCAATGATCAGACACTAGTATGCATATTAAAATTTTATATAAATAATCTAAAAATCAGAGCTAACAAAGTATTGTCTAGGTTAAAAAAAAAACAAAAACAAAAAAAACCACTTCCTTTACATGTAAGAAAATGTTACTACTGTCCTAAACTTTTTTACTAAATATTTGAGCTGAGGTAAAATTAACTATTTCTATTTTGGGAGTCAATTGAAAAAAGAATATCCCTTTCAAAAAAAATCACTTTACAGTTAACTGTTCAAGTAAAACCTTCCAGAAACCCATTAAAAGTGAAACAGACCAGTTGCTGTGGAACACACCGGTAATCCCTATGTTGTGGAAGGCTTGGGCAGGAGGATTACTAGTTCAAAACCAGCTTCAACATTGAGACCCTGTCTCAAAAATACACACACACACACACACACACACAAAGAGCTGAGGATGTGGTTCATGTGGCTCAGTGCCTAAGCACTCCTGGGTTCAATCTGCAGTACCAAACAAATAAGTGAAACATAATTTAAACTATATTGTACACTACCCTTCATAATGCTAAGTTAACCAGTTAACCATTGAGCTTCTTAGTAGCTACACTATGAACATGTCCTAAAGACTATAACTAGCAGAGTCCTTGCATTAAACCACTTTACAAACTTGTGCAACAGCACTAAAATATATGCCATACAGACAGAATAATATATAAAAGTTCCAAGGTAATTAGTTGGTGGTTCAAACTATAACTATTGGTGTTAGATAAGAAGAAATGTTATGTATTGTTCAGTACCTGAAGTACAACTGAATAATGCCAAATTTGAGGAAGACCTGACCAAATCAAATAAGTAAATAATTTTTACAAAGGTATGTATACCAATGTCCATCTTAGTTGGATCTTAACTACTTTAATAATGAACAAAAATTCTCTTGTATTTCTCACAATTGAGTAAAGAACCTTTCAAAAAAGTATATAAATGAATCTTAATTAAGATACACTAAATGGTTCAGTTTAATTTATAGCTGCATGGCACAAAAGATTATTCACTTTCTAATAAAAGTGTAACAATTGGATTTTTGAGTAAAAAAAAAAGTCTCAGATTATAGGAATTCTTTAAATTTTATTGAACTAGAATGTTAATTTTTAAAATGAGTACGATTAAACATATAAGAGGACACAAAGAATTAAATTCTTTACATGACATTATTTACAGTTTTAAACTTAAATTGAGTAGCACATGACTTTGCTTTAAAAGTACATATACTGGGGGGGGCTAGGGTTGTGGCTCAGAGGTAGAGCGCTCGCCTAGCATGCGTGAGGCACTGGGTTCGATCCTCAGCACCACATAAAAATAAAGATATTGTGTCCATATAAATAAAAAATAAATATTAAAAAAGAAGTACATATACTGAGGCTGGGGTTGTGACTCAGCGGTAGAACACTCGTTTCACAGATGTGAGGTGCTGGGTTCAATCTTCAACACCACATAAAAATAGATACATAAAGTGTACATGTAGCAGAATCATATTGTTCATGTAGTCACATACATACATAAAGTAATAATATCTGTTTCATTCTGCTATCTTTCCTATCCCTACATCCTCTCCCCTTCCCTCCCATCACTTTCCTCTACCCAATCTAAGGTAACACTATTCTTCCCTAGTATCCCCCCCACCTTATTGTGAACTAGCATCCACATATTAGAACATCCGGCCTTTGGTTTTGTGGGATTGGCTTATTTTGCTTATTAGCATGACATTCTCCAACTCCAACCATTTATTGGCAAATGCCATAATTTCACTCTTCTTTAAGGCTGAGCAATCTTCCATTGAGTATATATACCACATTTTCCTTATCAATTCAACCACTGAGGGACACCTAGGTTGGTTCAATAATCTAGCTATTGTGAATTGAGCTGCTATGAACATTCATGTGGCTATGTTACTATAGTATGCCAATTCTAAGTCCTTTGGGTATAAACTAAAGAGTGGGATAGCTGGGAAAATGGTGGTTCCATTCCCAGTTTTCTGAGGAATTTCCATACTGCTTTCCATAGTGGTTGCACCAATTTGCAGTCCCACCAGCAATGTGGGACTGTATACCCTTTTCACCACACCCTCACCAACATTTATTGTTGCCTATATTCTTGATAATTGCCATTCTGACAGGTGTGAGATGAAATATTAGAGTAGTTTTGATTTGCACTTCTCTAATTGCTACAAACGTTGAATACTTTTTCATATATTTGTTGATCAATTGTATTTCTTCTTCTATGAAGTGTCTGTTCAGTTCCTTGTAAATATTCTTAAAGCTTGCCAAAGCACCTCTAAATCCTTTTCAGTTGGCAAATTCTTTCTTATCCTCAAGTGTCAGAAAGATACTTCCTGCAATAAGACTGTGATGAATTTCAAATGCATTCTAACATCACTTCTCTCTCAAAACTGCAGTGTTTTTCATTTCATTTCATTCAGAATAAGAGCAAATGTCCTTATCCATTAACTTAATATGACCCTGCACAAACTTATTTCCTATTACTCTCTGACCTCCTCTGCTACTTCTCCCCATGGTCTGCCCTATCCATTCTAACCTCCCTCATTCTTCCAACACATCAGACAAGCTACTAACTTAGAAATTGGCTTTTTGCCTCTGTCTAGAATGCCAACCACTTTTAAGTCTTCTCTCAGATGTTTATTACTTTCTCAATTAAGCCTAAACTCAGCCCACTGGAAATTGCAGCCTACTCCCTAACACCTTCTTTGACCCACCTTTCTGTAGTTCTGTATTTGTTTTTTATCATTAGTCACCTGATACTATAAGTTTATTTGCTTATTATGTACCTTTCTTGTTTCCAACCTCCTCCCACTACAACATAACAAACTACACATGGGCAGTATTTTCTTGTTTTGTTTTCTATTTCAACTAGAATAGGAGATGAAAATTATGGCTGCTGTTTAATAGATGATCCGTGTATATCAGGCAAATTGATAAATTACATACTACTAAAATAATTAGGTTTAGGAATAAAACAAAAATGGAGGATTTCTTTATCTGATAGAGTAAAAACTCCAAAATGTCTCTAACTAGTGTTTCATTTCAACTGCTACATACATATAAACTTGCAAAGGAGGGCAGAATACATATTATGGTTTGGATGTGAGGTGTCCCCCAAAGGTCACATATAAGACAATGCCAGAAGATTCAGAGGAGATATAATTGGGTTATAAGAGTCTTAACCCAATCAGTGAACTAATCCCCTTCAGTGGTAAATGA